ATAAAAAAAGCTTGTGCGTTGCCGACCTTGACTTTTTGTGAGGCATTGATCATTCAGGAACACCTAGTATTTTTGCATGCGCTGCTGATGCAGTGTGTATCATGAGTGATAGCCTGTGGCCGGAAGTAGTGCTCAGAGGGGGAAAAATGCTGTGAAGCATTTTAAAGTTCAAAGGCAGCGCCTGTAGGCGATGCATCACCCACATAACCTTCCGACGTATCCAAGAAAAATGACTGGGAGGCTCAAAAACAGTGGTAGATAAGTAATGGCGCTGTGGCTCAGCTGGTACCGCAGTTCGTGGCTATGTAGTGTGGGCAGTGTGCTGTGCCTGACCCAGTGCCTATAGTACTACTCAGGGGCGTGCTCGGCCCCCCAACTAGGGGGGTGCACGGGAGCCGAGGGGAGCCCCCCCCCCCCCGGCAATTTTCTGCAATTTGTTTGCAACCTTTCTTGAATTTTAGAGCATATTCGCATACATTACAATTGCCTTGGATCCCAGCAGACACGACCTTTTTGAACTGGCCCTGCCTGGCAACGGCGTCTTTGTGGGTTGCCTGTGAGCCGTGTTTGTCCAGCAAAGTGGTGGCCTTTTTGAAGTTGGACATAGGTCTTGCTGTGAGCTGTCCCTGATCCGCACCACTGGGAAATAGGAGGCACGGAAGACAGAAACCCCCGTCGCATTTGGGTGAATAGACCAGCCACGTGTTGTCCTCTAGCCACTGGTGACGAAAACGACGGTTTCTGCCATCATTTCCTGTGTGGACAGGAAAGTCGTGTTTCGGCCCTGGCACAAAGTGGTGGTCGACCAAGCGACACTTCTCATCAGAGGACAACGATGACGGCAAACAGGTCCACTTTTGTGATGCAAGGTTGTAGCCTTCTCCAATGTCGTTTGGAGTGCCGCCTGAAGCGACTGCATCAACCTCGTCGGGTTTATCCACCGCGGTAGACCCGGCAGCCTGGGCTACTTCTCCTGCGACCTCTTCAACTACTACCACTTCGTCTGACTCTTCACCTCTTGAAGAACCCTCATCGCCACTCGAGGAAATATTATCAGATTTTTTCGCTGCAGCAACAGCTCCCGCAGCAACAGTTGCAGAACGACCGAACGCTTCACTTAGAGTTAGCTGCGGCAGCGTGGAAGCTTTGCGCAATGACTTCAATGACGGCGGTCGATTTGACATTATGAAAGGAGCAGCTCAGTCATAGTCAGATACCCATACTTCAGGAAAGAAATCAAAGAATCCAGAGACCTGAAAGCAAGAAATCGAAACCGGGAAAGAATCCGACTGTCGCAAGGTACTAATGTTTATGCTGTGCACAGTGTAGATCTACGTGCAAAATTCTTGATCGCGCTGCACGTGTACGTACGTGTAGAAGGCCGTTTGCATGTGTACGTGTCACATCCGAGGTGCAGTATTATTTTTTTCAAAACCCAGATTGAAAATTTTGGGGGGGTGCACGTGCCCCCCGTGCCCCCCGCCGAGCACGCGCCTGCTACTGTTGCATACTATTCGGCTAACTCAATCTGTCGACAGCTTAGTGCTTCGTCCTCTGTGTGCTATTGGGGTTACGTGCCCTTGCAGTTAGGTCTCAGGAACCTGTGCCTGACTGCTCAGACCTGTCCGTCCATGCTCAGCCAGTGTCTAGTTCTAGTCAGTCGAGTCCGATGATTAGGGAGGTTTAGTCCCACGTAACGGATACGAGAACGTGGGTGATACACGTAAAGTTCCTGCAATGGACCCACGTTTGCAATGTTGTGTTTAGTTACACGGAACAAACAAAGCATGAAGCGAAAGGCCCAAACCTGGTCAAAGACGAAGCTACCCGGGCCTAAGAAGCTCATCGAATATTTTGATTTCGTGCTTCGGAAACTTCTTCAGCTGAGCACCCTCACAGCTCGCACAATGCGCTCCATTTTGATTTTCACCCACGTTCTGGCGCGGAACGTGGGTGAGCCTCCATACACGATATGTCGTGAATCAGAAAACGTCTGTACATGGGTCACTCACGGGTGTTTCGCAGTGGCCACTCGTCAAGATGGCGGCAAATCCGAGAGTACAAAAATTTCGACTCTGCCTATGTGCGTGGCGGATGCGAATCTCGCACGTGCATGCAAAATCTAGCCTTCTGCAGAGCTAGTAGTAGTACAAGTACAAAGAAGCTGGGAAGAGCAAGTGTGTGTAGCCAGCGTAGGAACGAACGACGACCTTTTCCGAGAGAGAATGTGGCTCTTTTCATCCCAACATTTTACTCGCCACGCTCTCCCTCCCAGCTTATTGATACGAGTATGTGCTACCGAGTAGAAGTCTCCATCTTCAGAGTAGGCCAGGCAGAATCGCAAGGTAGAAATACTTGCTCACTTGGTTTTTTTGGTCCAGTTTGAGGTGTTGATGTGATCGTTGTGTACAACTCGAAGTGACAAACTTGAGACCCCCGCGCCACAAAAAACTAAGGCGCGCCACAAAATTTCGTTTGGCTGTTCAATGAAAGGATGTATGGAAGCAGGGATAAAAACTATCGTGGCTGCCGGCAAAACTCCTAGTAATGTAATAAACGGGGGTGTGACTTTGGTAATTCCAAGGAGAATGTACGCACGGCCATTCCACAACGAAGACGAACTACGAGCTCAAAAACACTCCGATTTTCAAACAAACGACGCAGGAACGAAGACATGGCCACAGTGTTCCCGTGTGGCCTTCAAAACACCTAATTTTACTTCGATAGCGGCTGGTTCAGGGCAAATTCAGGCCCAATTCGACAGCGTCGTACCGCTCAGATTCGCCCAAAACACGAGGAAATGTACGGTAGATCCAAATGCGTACGCATTTTGCGTACGGGGACGACTGGCCAGAGTTCATGCACTGCAAACACCCGTGCACTGAGTATCACGCGGTACACACACGTAAAGTACACACGGATTACGTGGGACTAAACCTCCCTATTGTCAGCTTGGTACTTGAAACTCATAAGTAAGGCTGGCACATGCACATGACGTTGTAAGCAGTCAGCCTGGCAGCTTGAACCACTGTGACGAGTCCTTGAAAACCCCACTTCTCACGACTGCCCGGTTCAAGCGGTCGAGCACAGATTTGCAAAGGAATGAACATGATAACTCACTAGCAGTACTACTAGTCACGCTAACGTATTACTTACCTGACATGACTGTGATAAGCAAGAGGTACAGGTCGTTTCCGCAAGATGCCTTGACCGATGCCTACACCTAGCTGTTGCTAGGTTCCATGGGCAGGGCTGCTGAGTGAGGGTTGTTCCTCTGCGGAATGCAAAGAAGTCCCAAATTCGGGCAGTCGCGATTAGTCATGGTTGGCGGCCGGAAGAATGGAACTCTCTCCTCGTCATACTTGTTCGACGAACGGGTTCGACATCCGGGGAGCAGCGTTGAGGTTGCCAAGTCGGACACATAGGAAAGGTGCTCTGACTCAGTGACAGTCTCTGGGGCCGGGCCATCGAGAGGTTGTGATACGCTGCGAGTCAAGGCTGCAGCACGCCCGCCTCTATTTTTTTTTGTTGTTGTCCTGGTCCATCAACCAAAGTCCGTCACGGCCCGCTGCTTGCCCACTCGTTTGGTAGCTTGACCTGTCAGCTTGGTGGCCTATTCGTCCGCAGCGGATTAGCGAAGCGGAATGAGCAGGGTAGCTCGGCCATTTCCTCTTCTTCTCTTTTCCGGTGTGTCCATGGACTGGGTCTAGAACCAACTCTGGCCCGGGACACTATAAATGAGCACAACTAAAACACTTTTTCAAGCACACAAGAACAGCAAAATAGTGTCCCTTCTAAATCTACTAAGAAGTCAGGTACTACTGAGCGTGGGCAGTTGATATGAGCAGTGACCTGGTGTCAGTGGTGACCTTCTTCAACTCTCACTTTGTTGTCACAGTGATGCTTCGCTATCGAGATCTAACCATCTTCTTCCAAGTCATCGCCGCGGCATACATGTACTGATGTAGTGCGAACTCGCGCTCAGCTCGGCGTTGATCATCTGAGCTAGGCGGCCAGATTGGCTGAGGTCAGAGGAAGAGAGTAGGTGAAGAAGTTATGACCAATCAGCGGGTGATCTAGCAATGAACACAACTTTATCCGTAAGTCTAACATTCACCATTCTAGTCCACAAAACAATGAGGATTTAGCCTTACAATAGGATAGAGGTCAAGGCCAGTTCTCAAATTTGATTCTGATCACTACAATGTAGTCATGTACACACAATCATGCTGCCGCATGTCAACAGGAGAAAGAAGCTAGTGCATAGGAGGTGTGATAATACACACGCAGGCGCTAGGCGTGCACAGAGCGCATACAGGTAAATTAATGTTCTGGGTACATACAACAATACACCTTATGTCTTTAAAATAGACACCTATAACCACGATAACCTGAGATTGTAAACGGCTATAGCAAGAGTAGATAAACAAGAGTGTGCAACTCCGGATCTCTCCTGCACAATCTGCAGATACGGCGGATTTTTTTGTTGACGTCACCTTTTTTCCAGAAGAACGCGCATTTTCCCACAGAGCAGTGTGAGAGCACGTGCTAGGTACCGACCTTGTAATGTAAAGCCCGGCCAAGTGCACGAGGCAAAACTTTCCAAAGGACTCGCAGCGCGTGCGTCGTCGAAAAGATTACGTCAACAAAAAATTCCGCCGCGGGCCAGCCCATCCCGGAGTTGCACACTCTTGTTTATCTACTCTTGGATATGGTTGTAATGTTGAAGTTTATTTTATATCGCGTATATAATGCGATGGCAGCATTCAGCAGCTTATGAGGCTGACACCATTTCTTTTTGCCTTTGGCTAGGCTACACACGGCGCTGCTTCAGAAGTGATATTCTGACCAGGAGGTGCACATGCACACACGTATGGACACACAGACATACACACACACACACACACACACACACACACACACACACACACACACACACACACACACACACACACACACACACACACACACACTTGGGAACAAAGCAGGGCCGTGGGGCATTCATCGTGGATAAGATTCAATACTGGGAAGAATAAAATAGTCGGAATAACACAGTCAGTCGGCAGCCAGGACAGTTATCATTGAAATACAAAAGTCACAAGAACACACTATCATTGAAGTGCAGCAATGTGGATACGGGTAGAATATTGGTTGAGCAGCACGAATAAATAGAATTTAAATCTGAAATAAATAGAGCGGGACAGCGTGGGCGTATGTACAAACGTGAGCATGCGTGGTGTTGTCGAGCCTAACCGTTGCTTGAAGGATGGCACACAGGAGAGTTTAGCAGCGGTGAGGTAATGTGCAGGCTGACAGCAACACAGCAACAGGGCAAGGTGTATATAATGCACATTGGCATACGTCCGTATACCCGAACCGAGCACCCAAATCAGTCAGAGCGTACTGTACTGGTTAGAGGCAGGTCTGTGTGCAAGGCAGACTAGCTATTCGAACAGACGTGTGGGTAGTGTGGGTATGTTACGCAGGCTGGAACAGACATGTGGGTAGGCTACACAGACCGGAACAGACGTGTGGGTATGTTACGCAGACTGGAACAGACGTATGGGCATGTTACGCAGGCTGGAACAGACATGTGGGCATGTTATGCAGACTGGTCGAAGAAGGAGCGCAGCAAACGCTCGCATTCGCTAGAGCTGTATTTGAGATACTTCTCCGGCGTCTTGAATGTGTTCACAACAGAATGACTGTACACACACCCGTATACACACAGACGCATGTACACACAC